TGAAAGGGATTACTAAGTTATATATTTTTCTTTAAACAGAAAATTTAATCAATCATAAGGATGAAGAAGGATTTACCCCTCTGATGTGGGCTGCAGCTCATGGGCAGATAGCAGTAGTGGAATTTCTCCTCCAGAATGTAAGGAAAAAACCACACTACATTTTAAATTTATTTACTCATTAGTTCATTTTGCCTTCTTAAGTTTGTCAATGCTGCTATAGAGTTAAATGGTTTAAATTTAAGTTCTATGTAAAACCTCAAATTTGCTTCTTGTTTTTAAATTGATACTTTTATTTCAGGGTGCAGATCCTCAGATCCTGGGGAAGGGGCGAGAAAGTGCCCTCTCACTGGCCTGCAGTAAAGGGTACACAGATATTGTCAAAATGCTGCTTGACTGTGGAGTTGATGTCAATGAGTATGACTGGGTAAGACTCTAGTTTAAATTTATGTCAGAGGGTGCTTTGTTCAGAAAACTGAAGCAGGACATAGCACTGGCTCGGATTTAAAAATTGTTCTACTTCTTCTGAAATATTTGAGAGTTTCAAAACTTGCATAGGATAAGAGAAGTTGGTTCTGCTAGTTCTGACCTCTAGGGAGAAAGAGAATGAGATTAATGCTGGCTCCTTGTAGAAGTGTGAGCTTAAAGTTTAAAAAATAGACAAAAAAAGATGGAAGTTGTGAAGATCCAAAACAACCTCATTTTCATAAAATCTATGAAGTCTTTTACTGATACATAGAAGCATATTGGTGTGTTAGGGAATTAAAATCACAGACTGTTTAATCACTAAGTGTCTTAAGGCATTTCTCTGCTTTTGCAGAATGGAGGCACGCCCTTACTATATGCAGTACATGGGAACCATGTGAAATGTGTAAAAATTCTCCTTGGTAAGCAGACTGTCCAAACAGAATTACCAATAATAATGTACTATCAGTTGTCATTGTCAGAAATACAAGTCTGTTCCTATTTTACATAGAAAATGGTGCTGATCCAACTATCGAAACAGATGCTGGCTATAATTCCATGGATTTGGCTGTAGCCTTGGGCTATCGGAGTGGTGAGTATTGCAAATGTAAACTCTTCTAAAAAAATTTTAGTTTTTACAGCTCCTTGTATACGTAGCTGCTGTAATGGCCTGGTAGAGGTTTTGCAGCATTCAACATGTTACCTGTCCTACAAGTCTTAATACACCTAAATGAATCAGGCCAAAATGGGTAGGGGCTTCCATCCCTTTTTCAGAAAGCCAGGTACCTAGTAAGAAAATGTCACTGACCTGGATCTGCATCAGTGGGCACAAATATCGGTGTTTAGGGCTGATGCAGCCATGATTTAGACAAGGGGAGCCGAGCTGCTCCCCCATCCCTGTAAAAGCAGTGTGTTGCACTGGACAATTGTAAGAGGCCTGCAGCTGTCCTGAACCCCTCACTCTGGTTGACTGGCATGTAATGATGTAGTTTGCAAAACCTTCTTCCTCTGTCAGACCAGCTCTATCTCTAGTTTGTCTTGGAGGCACACAGTAATAGGATCAGTAGTGAATATACTACCTCACTTGGTTATGGAAAACAGAAGCAAAGAAGGGACTCTTCATTGGTTTTTTTCCTCATGCTGTCTTCATTTTGAAAGCTGTGAAATGTCTGCCATCACAGAAATGAACTGAACCAAAAAATACTCCCAGCACTGGATGTGCTGCTTCTCCAAGCAGAGCCCTGTGCTTATGAATGAGCCAGTAACTTCACAGATGTCTAGATATAGGACTGCTTCAAAAGCTCAATCTCAGAATGTTCCACAGAAGACATTCCTAATAATTTTTTTCCCTACTTTCCATTTGTAGGCTAAAAATTTGCTTTCCATATGCTATCAACCTATTCAAACCACAGAACAGATGAGGACCCCCAAACCCCATCATCTGCCTTCCTGGATGTATTGTGTTTGCATTATATAAGGCTTTTATTTTCTGAAGGGATGCAAACCCTCTTCACAGAGTAAATTATTCCTGTCTGGTTTTTAATAAATCATTATACAGGACAAGCAGGCATCTGGCAGAAAAAACAGTACAACCCTGAAAAATGAACACTGATTAACCTCATCTTTTTTCTCTGCTTTAGTTCAACAGGTTATTGAGTCTCATTTATTAAGGCTACTTCAAAATATCAAGGAATAAGGGTTGGCTCTTCTTCGGGTGTCAGTTCTTGGCTTGGAGATTTGAACTGCTTTTTAGCCTTGTAATCGGTGACAAAGGTTGGTTTTTTTGTAACTTTACCTCAGTTCAACTATTTGCTGATTTTAGTTAAGCTATTTAGTATTCTTCCTCTTCTTTCATTGTTATTCATGCAAATATGTAATTTCATCCTTTTCTTAAATATATTTTATATAATTTTAGAAGAAAAAGTCAGTTGTCATGCATGAAAATATTTGTAAATAAATCCAGTTTTGACCATCTAAATGTTTACACTGAATGCAGTGGGTGACACTGTGCCAAGTATCCTACTTCGTCACATCATTGATACGTATTCACATGAAGAAATGTGTTTAGGTATTGAGGTATATCACCACAGAAGATAGATGTCTTTATTGTTATTAATACTAACTAGTGTGTGTGATAGTTTGTGATATTCTCAGTTCATATTTGTCCTGCCTCTGGCCAGGACACGTTATTTTTCCAGTAGGCAGGAGGGGGCATGGCTGGGACCCTTTGTCATTACCAGGGGTGCAGGGGAGTCTCTTTCAGAGAGAAAGGGTTCCTTTTACTTGGGGTGGTGTGGCTGTGGTGGAGTTGGGTCAAGCTCCATCGTGAGCATTTTTGCGTGTACTTTTTTTTGTATACTTTTGTTATTAATATTGTTGCTGTTACTGTTTGTTTTCGTATCTCATTGCTGTTTCTAGTAAATTGCTTTTTTTCTCAACCTGTGATCTTTACCTTTTGTGTCTCCAATTCCCCTTTCCATCTGGCCTTGGAGGGAGAGGAGAGGGGGTGGGGGAGCGAGCAAGCAGCAGCATGGTTTGGAGGGTCTCATCAGGAGCACTACATTGGGGACTACCCTTCCTAAACCAGGACATCCTTATTTGGCACCCAGTTTGGCACAAAGGGTTGAGAAAACAACAGATCTGGCCAGAGCAGATTGGAAATAAAATTGATTTAAGCGTTTGTTTTATTGGGTGCAGAGACACTGGTCACAATGTTCCTTAGTCTGTTCGTGTGGCTGAGGTACCTAACCCTGTATATATTCTCATTTGTGCCCCTCATGATGATATATTTTAGAGTAGGAAGAGGGATCAGGATTGCTTTGTTAATGTACTGTGGGATATCAGTTTATGGCACGATAACATCAAGGGCAGTGAGGGTCATTTGGGATATGTATCCAGTGCTGCTCTCCTATCCTTACCTTGGGTGCTGCCTATGGGAGCCCATTAGTAATTGTACCCAGTCTGTGGGTGGAACAGGGAAGAATGATTTTCCCCAGCTTTTCACCCCCTTTTTCTACGTCAAGCCTGTTACAACAGCTTTTGAGAATTGTGAATTGCCTCTGGATATTGAGGAAAGCATGGTTTTGTTGCTAAGTCTGCCAGGTCTCCTCAGTGCAGTCCACACCATGTTTAGAATCAAGGTAGAGATTTCTAGGAAGGTCATTCAGAGATCTGCAATGAGTCATGAGTGACATGGGGATAAAATGGCCAACTTTTGAAGGATTACTCTGCTCTAACGGTTTGGAAGTTCCCCCCTGAGCAATTACAGGACCCTGATAAAGTGGTAGAATATGTGAAGGAAAAATGTTGCGGCAACTTGAAAGAGGCACAAAGTTATGCAATGTGCTGGGCCCTGGCTACTATTTATCAGACACCGATGGTCACTACATGGCATCCTCAGGGGGAGGAGGAGGAAAAGCAGAACAATAGGCACTGTAGCCACTCAAACTTCAGCTGAATCACAGGAACAACTCATGCTGGTAGCAGTCCCACCTATACAGAAGAAATCCAAGACCAAATCAGTTCACAAAGTGAGGGATGAAGAGGAAGCAGGGCCCTCATGACAGGAGGAAGAGCCAGGGCTAGAGATTTCTGTCCGATCCCTATCCCTGGGTGAGCTGTAAGGTATGCAAAAATATTTCAGTCACCAGTTGGGTGAGGCCCTGGTGACCTGGCTGCTCCAATGCTGGGATATTGCAGCCCACGATATGACACTAGATGGTAGTGAAGCCAAGAAACTGGGATCCCTGTCCTGGGATGTGGGAATTAAAAGAGGATTGGGAAGAGGAATCTCTCAGCCTCTGGAGGCAACTCCTGTCTGTCAAGCAGGAGGGAAAGTTATTTTCTCAAGAATGGTCTAATAGTGCACCCAAGCAAGTGGAAGACTATGAAGAAAGGTATCCAGTACAAGGTATCCAGTCCTGAGAGAATCAGCTGTGCTGGTGGTAAGCTACAGAGATTCAAATAATGAGCAGAGGTGTACACAATCCATGTGGTGGAAGTTTGTATGGAGCACACCATTGTCATACACCAATTTATTTGCATTCATGTCTGTTACAACCCACCCCTGAGGACAAGGATAATTCAAGTTAATAGATCCCTTTGGGCAGATTAGAGTGAAAAGACACTGAATGACCAGTGTTTATAAATATGTAGGTATATATATGTATGTAGGGTTTATTTTAGAACAGTCTGGTTGCAATGGAGAGCAGGTATGTAGCCCTTTTAGTTATTATTATCTAAAGTAATATAATAATATAAAAGCATAAAAATATCACTTAAGAAAATATAAGGAAAAGAAAGGAAGGATAAGAGTAGAAAGATATCACCACCCGTGGATCCAGTGACAAGACTTGATTGTTGCTATTTCAATGTCCGTTGGTCAAAGTGATGGTTGCAGTCTTGATCCATCATGGATGGGAGAAAGCCCACAAAATACAGAGTTCAACAGGTTGATATACCTTTAGGTTTACTTGGGAATGCCCTGGTAACTCCCCTGGGGGTGGAGCTTTACTGCTTTACTGCTTTACTGCTGAATCTACACTCTGATTCAGCAGTGTAGATCATGTGTGGTCCTGTGGTAGAAAGATCCAGAAATGAGTCTGGGGGTGCTTTAGGGGTCTTTGATGGTTTATGACACCTTCTAAAACATGACAGCTGCCTCTCATGTCAGTGTATTTGAGCCAATTATGCCCTATCACAAGGGATGAATACCTTCAGGCCCATATATGAATGCCCCAATATCTCCCCTGGGGGAGAGTTTTACAACAGAGCCAGTTGTAGAAGGGAGGACGCTGGCATGATGAAAAGCACCATCCCACCTTGAAGGATCAGCCTCTTCTCTTATCTGACTTAAAATGTTGTTTCTTGCTAAACAAAGGTTGATTTGTCATCATTATCCTCTGCTGCTCATGCCCTCTGCATCAGAGGTTTCACCACTACACACCCAAAATTCTCCTCTCCCCCTCGGCAGGGAGCTGCAAACCCAGGCCCAGCAAAGCACCCTGCCACCTCCACAAATGGCTGATTGTTTTGAGTCATTAACCATTAACATTTCTGTCTTTCACAATATCAGTGAAAGAAGGAGAAAAACAGTGCTCCAGTGACTACCTGACTCCAGCAATATGAAGATCATCCTTTTTCCTCCCTACCAATCTGTACCTTGTCTGTAGAAAGACTGTCCAAGAATGGACAGATTTGAAAGACTTGCACAAACGAGAGGAAACATCCCATGCCCCACCGGTATGGACCAGAGTTTCTGCTACTGGGAGCAAGCACCCCCCTGTTTGAGAGAGTGGGTACACACCACAAGGTAACCTGTGTTTTTATCTGCATGACCAAGGAGAGGACATGAGGAAGGGGGATGGAAAACCCACCTCTGTCCCAGCAGATGGGTACATGAGTTGAGAGGAAGAACAACTACTGCAGGAAATTCTTCAAGGATAAATGCTGCTCCAGTTTCCAGTGGGCAAGTCCTCTGATGGAATAGAAGGGCTGATGTTATTTCTGGTCCTCTTTAAAGAACATCCAGTTCCTATTTACAAGAAGTGAGCAACAAGTACTATAAACCAGAACTAGAGAGGCCATGCCTCCAGCCAGGTACTGGAAAGGGACAGTTGGATCTATTGGACCGTGGGGCTCCAGTGACTTGGCACATCAGACCCACAAGGGTATAAGGCCATCAAGATGCCTGATGCCATCAAGATATGCAGGGGCAGAATCCATCTCTATTTCTGGGGTGACAGGGGGATCCCAACAGCTGACTGTACTGGAAGCTCAAGTGAGCTTGACTGGGAGTGAATGGCAAGAACATCCCATTGTGACTGGCCCAGAGGCCCCATGCATCTTTGGCAAAGATTACTTCAGGAGAGGGTATTTCAAGGACCCAAAAGGGCATTGCTGGGCTTTTGAGATAGCTGCTGTGGAGACAGAGAAAATTAGACAGCTGAATACCTTGTCTGGTCTCTCAGAGGACCCTTCTGCTGTGGGACTGCTGAGGGTGGAAGAACAACAGGTACTGATCTCTACCATATCAGTGCCCCATCAGCAGTACTGCACCAACCAGGGCTCTGTGACCCCCATCCATGAAACAATTTGTGAACTGGAGAGCCAGGGGGTGGTCAGCAAGGCTCGCTCACCCTTTAATAGTCAGTCTTATATGGCCAGTGCATAAGTCCAGTGGAGAGTGGAGACTGACAGTCTCCATGGCCTGAACAAAGTCACACCTCCACTGAGTGTCGCTGTGCCCAACATGCAACACTTCAGTATGAGCTGGAGTCCAAGGCAGCAAAGTGACAACACCACTGGTATCCTAGGTAGAAATTTCCTTGGTATAAGAAAGCGTAATTGCAAGTACAGAAATTCTTAGCTCCTAAATATCTTTCATGCAGTGGCTGAAAGGAGGCATCAGCTGTATAGGAAGAGAAGCCACGGTCTACTGCATTCCAGGCTTCTTCATCCACAGTGTAGTCCTTTGGATCACACAATATGATTAAGGGACCCATAAGGATCACTGAGTCACACTCGCTGCTCCTTGCAGGATGATCTTTATGGGTCCCTTCCAACTTGAGATATTCTATGACTACTTCAAATTAAACCATATGACTAAGCATCATCCAGATGCTCCCTGAACTTGACAGGCTTGGATACTACTTTCCTGGGGAGCCTGTTCCAGGCTCTCAGCAAAGAGCCTTTCCCAAATGTCCAGTCTAAACTTTCACTGATGCACTTTCATTCCATGTCCTTATGTCCTATGACTGGTGACCAGAGGGACCAGTGCCTGCCCCTCTATTTCCTCTCATGAGGAAGCTGTAGGCTGCCATAAGGTAACCGCAGTCTCCTCCAGGCTGAACAGAGCAAGTGCCCTCAGCTGCTCCTCATACAGCTTCCCCTCAAGGCCCTTCACCATCTTCGTTGCCCTCCTTTGGACACTCTCTAAGAGCTCAATATCTTTCTTATTTTGTGCTGCCCAAAACTGCACACGATATTTAAGGTGAAGCTGCCCCAGTGCAGAGCAGAGCGGGACAATCCCCTCCCTTGACCGGCTGCCTGATGCTCCCCACCCCGCAACACGGTTGGCCCTCCTGGCTGCCAGGGCACTGCTGACTCATATTCAACTTGCCCCCAGCCCAAAACCTCAGATCTCTTTCTGCAAGGCTGTCCTCCAGCTTCTTGTCCTCCAGTTTCAGGAATGTCTCACTATAGTTGTTTAGTTAAAACAGCAATTAGGATTTTGAAATTAATTGAAAAAAATCAGGTAATGTTAACGGATTTTCTGGAACCCCTACACTTAAAGCTACAGTGAATGATGGGACATGATATTTGTGCAGTTTTGCACAAATAATAGATAAGCCTTTGAAAGAGACTTTTCAGCAGCTTTTGCCCAACAGTACATAGGGTTTCCCCATGCAGTATTCACGTTTCCATGAGCATTTCTCCATTGTGTCCACTAGAGGTCTGGAATCTACTGACAACCATACACCCTGAATCCCTGCGTTCTTCCCCAGTCCATGGATGGTGAGCCCAGTCTCCAGTTTGCTCTCACTTAAGAGTTCATAATAGATAACTGAACCCAAGTAATTTACTATATTCCTATTATAGTGTCTCTGCCTTGCTTGTTTTTGTATTTGAAAAGCATTCCATACTCAAAAGAAATTAATACCATTTAAAGTACATGCACTGTGATCCTGACCAAAGATACTGGAAGGCTGGAGAACAATCCAGCCAGGTTCTCTGAGTGAGAGCCACAGAAATAATGAATTAAAAATGTTAACTTTGAAATAACAGAGTGATTGAATATATAATAGAGGAAAATGTGGGAAAAAAAACCCAAACCTACATGGATTAAACCTGAATTTCTGGCTAAATTTCTCTCTGACTCTGTACTGATATATCTGTGGTGCACAGAAAGTTTACATCAGGTAACCTCTGCAAGGCTGTGTGAGAGCCAGTCCAGAGATCCATTTCTTTCATGAAGCTGAAATCTGAAATGGAATAAACCTTAAGGAAGATGAAGCTAAAAAATGTAACTGGCCTTGCAGGTGTTGGTGAAATCCTTGCTGCATTGAGTATTATGTGTCTCCTAGGCTTTGACACCTGTATTCTTATGTAGCATTTACACCACTTTTACTGTATGATTAAATCAGATGAAAGAAATAGCAAATCTGGCATGCCTTGGAAGCAACAGGGAAAATGTTTCATAACCAAAATCCAGAAAAATACATCTTCTTGTAAGTAATTTTAAAGTAACATGAAGTGGCAATTACCATAAAGTTGCATATTAAAAATACTGAGATTTAATCATTCTAAAAACAAATGCTGAACTGCCATGTTTGTTGAAAAGCAATGCAAATAAAATGCAAATTGCCTTTTCTTGAAATACCATAACCTGAACCATTTCTTCTTAAAGACATCTCATATATAGACAAGCTACATAAGTTTGCATAAGGAACAAAATTTCCTTTTTCTGAATTATTTGTGTTACAGGAAAGTACTTGTTCTAAATAAACCTTCAATATCTGCTTTGTATTTTGTCTTGAATTTCAGTCAGCAATAATGAGTTAATATATAAGAAATAAAACTTCTTAACTATTGCCTGAAAACATACCCTAGAAAATACATTTATTAATTATATGCAAACACACTGGAATAGAGGAATTCTAGATTAAGAAAACAAAATGCAAAATTTCTTTCATCTTTTTGTTGTAGAAATTCAAGCAATTGTCAGATAGTCATCACCACGCCTGCCACAAGAGTGAGTACAAAGGTGAAAATGGTAATCTTTCAGAAGGTGTTTCCTCCATTTTGTATAGTTTAACATTATGCTGCTAAAATGGAATTGAAGATTTCTGTATCTCTTGTGAGGGCCCTGCAGGGATCAGCCAGCACTATTTCATAAGATATGATTCAGACACCCTGAGGAAAACTTAGTCAAGAGTTAGCAACTGGGAAGGGGGAAAAAAAAAATCTATGCGAAGAAGCAGCTTTACTCACAGGAAAAAAATCCCTGTCAAAAGAGCAGAGACAGCTGTTGATTATGCAATACTAACAGCATGCTTCACTCCACATACTTTGTGTTCCTCTGATGCACAACACTGATTGTTTGTTTCTCTTGGTGTAAATACTTCTCAGCATTCACTTTTCTTTGTTTACAGTGATAAAATTTGTAAAGCCCCTGATTCAGCACTGGTGTTTTGAAATGTCAGTCTGCTGATTTTGCTTTAGTGAAGGATTTCTGTAGCCTTTGATGGCAGTGAGGAGATATTAGGACTTACCTTTTGAACCACACCCATGAGTCCAAAGGCAGCCAGTGTTTCCTTGCCACAAGACCAGGAGTTTGAAAATTCTGCAGTCAACATCTTAATTCCAACTGATTCTCTCCAAACATTTTACCAAAAGCTCTTGCCAATCTAATTTCTTACAGTAATGTTAATCTTTTACATTTGAACTTCAATGACAGTATACTGTCTTTCAGAGTGTTAGTAAACAAGTTGCTTTTCCTGATTAACTACATTATTTTTGCCAAATTCAACGTGCAGCATGTAATCACAGATGCCATGAACTCCGCTCACAAAGCAGGTTGCCAGCAGTTTCATGTAGCAGTAACAGCCAAATGCTTCAGAGCTGCACAAAGTCTTTGTCTTATTCATTCCTGTTTGACTTTGCAGGGGATTCTGGTTAATCATGTACAATGTTAGCATTACTATTTGCATGTAAATTTGATGAGCACTTTGTAACACTCTTCCCTGTCTGCTCTGGTTTTCCCTGAGGCTGTTACTAGTTCCACTCTGTTGCCTTCTTTGTTCATCTGTCTTGTACTTTGAATTCCCCACTTGTATTTCTGAGACAGTTACAGAAAGCAGCAACCTCCTGCCAGACCTTCCCAGGGTAGAGCCTAATCTCCCTTCAGCCCTCCTGTGGGTTTTTCCTTGGTATTAAAAAAAAAAAAAAAAAAAAAAAAAAGAAAATCAGTATCTTACACCTCCTTATGCCACACAGGGAGCAGGTGCCCACAGCAGGGAGCCAAGTGATGGAAGATGGGCCTCTGCTCTTCACCTTTTGCATGATCCAGGCAAGGTGACCACAGCTCCCCACTCTGGTACCAGAGATAAACTCTGTCCCATTACCATGATGGAAGGGCCCCATGGCACTCTTTTTTTCCCAAGAAAATTCAGCAGTTGGTATCCCAATGGTATTGCTGCAGAAATAATGTTACACAACTCCAAGATGAAAATCAGCCACTTACTCAGCTGAGAAACAATATGAGACAAACTTCTACTTATGGCATGCACCAGTTTTGCATTTCCAAAGCAACTTCCCTGTATCTTGGTCCTACAATCTATCTTTAAGCAATCTTGAAGCTTGCTTCTCTAAACCCTGATGATGCTGCTTAGCTCTCAGCCTGAAAAGACAGCTGTAACTAAAGCCAGAACTAGTACTTATTTTACACAACTGTTTTATAACACTAGTTGGAACAAAAAATGTCAGAAACAGAGCAAACATGGAAGTTTATCTGAATTCAAGGTAACTTGTTTTGCCTAAGCAGTTCATATTCACAGCTCTAGCCCACCCCTAGCATCAACCAGATGCAACTCCATATTCTCAAGAAACTGGAAAGAATATGGGATAGAAAAAAAAAAAAAAAGACTATTAACTGGGATGATAGACTCAAATATGTTCTGCATTTTTCACTAGTAAGCTGATTGTTAGGGACATTCCAGCAGAGTTTTTCCTGAATACTGTGGACTAGACTTTTTTCCTCTACAACAACAGTATAAATCACTGGAGTGCAGACACTGCCCATCACTAGAATGATCATCATTAGTATTGTTATAGCAGTTCCGCTTGCATGCACCTCCTGCTGTGCAGCACATAATGCTTTCAGGAAGTACACTGCTCCATCTGGCAATGAATGTATATCTGGGTGAATTAGGAATCCAGTCACTTGGAACTTTCAAGATCAAAGATATTGTTAGGGGTTAGTCCTAGGAATGACGTCTGAATAGATCTTTCTGTTGAGGGTTATTTGTCACCAAATTAAGCTAGCAACTCTCCAGGCATATAGGACTGTAAAGCACGTCAGTCAGTCTTCAGCAGATGAGCAGTCATGAGGCCAACCATGTACGCAAAAATCAGCAGGGAAAGTTGCAGAGCCCATCAGAAAGGGAACTGGACACAGCAACAAGGTGGATTACAGCTGTGGGACTGCACTGTATAGCTCATCCTTTTACTGCAAGAATAAACCTAAGTAATCCCCAAATAATCCTCTGAAAAAAAATCCTGACCTGCATTGTGGGAGATATTGTTTTGATTCATTATGCAAATCAACTGTACATGCTCTTTTTTTAGCACTGAAATCAAAGCATAGCAAATACAGCACCATCACATGCTTTTCACAGCCTACAAAATTTTCTAGTACATCAGCATTTCTATTTCATAAATAGAAATTAGAGCTTACAGGACAGGATCATTTTCACACAAATTCTAGTATATATCACTTGCAAGCATTTTAGGAGGACCTACCATAGGCTGGACTCAACCTTTGTGTGTTGTTGTCAGCTAGAGGACACTGAATGACATGCGATCTGCAGGGAAACCTGATGTGCCAGAACTTACTCAGGCTTCTAGAACCATGGAAATATGGGCAAGTTTTACCTAAACCCTATAAATCCCAGAACCCTCCCTTTGTAGCCATTAGGTTACATCTAGACTGTCTTAAATGTTACAACCTATACAACTCAACACACAGCAGTTGTTTCTGAAAACGCATAGCAAAACCAGCTTGCTTATCTACTCTGTACCTGTGGTATCATGTCTATCCCAAATACAGGGTAAGATCACAGGTGTAACAACACTGCCATTGTCTCCAAAAATGCTTTTGTTTAGAAGTGTTATGGTTTTCTGTTCCCATAAAATGCAAAGGTTTCAAGAAGGTCCACAGCCTATAAGAAAAATATACTGGTGCATCCTTGAACTCTTGCATCCCCCTTGAAATTTCAGTTACAGCCTGCTGACATAGTTGGTCAAATATACTGTATTTCCCGATGAAACCAGACTGCTATCAATGTGGGACATAATTGAAAAATGGAAAGTAAAAACAACTCCATGTTTTGAAATAATCACCTAATTTTCAAGGTACAAATTATTAAAATAGGACAATGCTAAAATATGAGGAACAAATATAATGGGAGCAAAGGGTCTGTTCTACAAATGCAAGGGCTGAATGACACACTAAAGCAGAATTACAATCCATCTAGACTACAGTTCCTGACAGAGGTCAGCCTCAACACCAGTGTATACGTGTACAAGGTCACATCTAAGCAAGTCTGAATTTTGTATGCTGGTGGAAGATGATGAGTCAGTGAATTCTGAGACCTGTAGGCTATTCTAGCTTCTACACAGTAAAAACCACACACACATACACACAAATCTTAAAGATCATCACCCCCGGGTAGTAATTACTGGAGCATGAAATGCTGCAGATGTACATGGGGATTGTTTATCCAAATGCTGTCCCCAGCATATGGTAAAGGCAAACCCCAGCTGTATGAGCTGGCTATGCTGGTTTCACACTGTTTAGGAAACTCCCTAAACCAGAAAGGACTGTACCATCTCCTGATTCCTAACACTTAACTGGTGCAAAGCAGCCAGAAGGAAAATAAATGAATTATGAAATTAACTCCTTCCTGGTTCTTTGTATACCAACTGTCCCAGGAACAAAAACTTGTAATGGATGCCCCAAATCAATAAGTCTACCCCTGTGCTAACAAAACTGTTTGATTTTTTCACTGTATCTCATTTTTACGTTTGAATCCTACCAACACTCATGTTCACATTATCTTTATAGGATCAGGAGCTTTGAGGCAGTAGCTGTCTCTCACCGTATGTTTAGGTAAGACTCCTGCCTAGGGGGGCAGATGAATTTCCTTCCCCAACTATAACACAACCAAATGAGTTGACTGACCTGTATAGGTGAAGTCAAATAATGTTAGAAACCAGCACAAATGCAGAAGTCCTAACGACGTAGTTGATCATAGTAAGTATTGTAAAAATTTTTCCTACCCACTCAAGTCTGCTGACTGCTATGTTACTCACCTACATGGCTCTAATGAGGCACTACCACTTTTAATTCCCACTAGTCCTCCACATTCGACAATACTGAAGAGACAAGGAAGATCTTCATCACCACATGCATTTTAACACTATTCTACTGTGACTCCCAGTCACATTGTGTGTGTAATACCACAGATGTCATGTCAAACACCAACGTCACACATCTAACATATATTCTGGCCCCCAAAATGATCTTAATATTACTTTTGTCCTGCACAGTCACAAGTTAAGAGTGCGAGAATCATAGAATCAGCTGGGTTGGAAAGGACTTCTGAGATCATCAAGTCCAACCCTTGGTCCAATGCTGCCGTGGTTACTAGACCATCCAGTCTGATCTTAAAAACCTCCAGGGATGGAGAATCCACCATTTCCTGGGCAGCCCATTCCAATGCCTGATTACCCTTTCTGTAAAGAATTTCTTCTAATATCTAACCTAAACCTCCCCTGGCACAGCTTAAGACCATGCCTTCTTATCCTACTGATAGCTGCCTGGGAAAAGAGACCAACCACCATCTGGATACAACCTTTCAGGGAGTTGTAGAGAGTGATGAGGTCTCCCCTGAGCCTCCTTTTCTCAAGGCTGAACAACCCCAGCTCCCTCAGCCTCTCCTCATAGGACTTGTGCTCCAGTCCCTTCACCAGCCTTATTGCTCTTCTCTGGACCTGCTCCAGCACCTCAATATCCTTCCTGAACTGAGGGGCCCAAAATTGGACACAGTACTCAAGGTGTGACCTCACCAGTGCTGAGTCCAGGGGAAGAATCACTTCCCTGGTCCTGCTGGCCACACTGTTCCTGATCCAGGCCAGGATGCCACTGGCCTTCTTGGCCACCTGGGAAGCCCTCCTGCATCTCAGTTGGGCCCTTAAAGATGGCAGGAGTCTGGCTTATACAGTTATTAGGACTTCATCACAAAACAGAAGCCCACAAAATGGAGATCTGACTGTCAAGTCATACTCAGTTACCTATGTAATTGCCTAATGCATGTTGCTGGAAATAACAGGAAAGAATAGCAGGATTAGCCACAGTTCCTGAAGTTGCGGCCTAAACCCAGAGCTCCTCCTGTTTCAGTAGATACTTCCAACAACTCCAAACCTTGCTTAATCTTATTGCATCATTTTCAACTCAACAATAACATGCAGGTGCAAACACTTGCCACAAGTTATATGTTGGTTGTGAAGCAAGATACTGATCAGCTGTATGTGGCTGAAATTTTTGAGATTCCAGCATAAGCCCGAAAAACATTATTAACTCAGGTGCAGCTTACATAGAGAATGTAAGCACTTTTAACTCAACTTCAGGTATGTCCTAAAAATTTGGAGTAGGATACAACCCACAACTATATTTTTTCAGTACACAGAAACAAACAATAGAAATGCAGAATAAGGATTTCAAGTGCAGCAGATACTTCCACATTTATCTGCCAGTATCCTGCAGTGCACATCAAATCCCTGACTGTGTGAAACATGTTGCAAAAGCACTGTGCACCTAGATCAAACTGACCTTCAACCAATCCAGTAACTGAATAAGCAGTAAGATGTCCTAGAATTCTGCCTTCAGCCCATGTAAGAAATTACAGACATTCACTATAAAAATGATTAGTGCTTATAGCATTACAACACTACTTGTTCAACAATTGTTCTGATTTGTCCAGATTCATTAGCAATTCAAAATGTTGGGCTGTAACTTGCCTGTAAAAGTACTAATCCCTGCACTACACAAACATTGTTAGAATGTCTTTTTCATTGCCAGGATATTTTTGGTGCAATGTAAAGGCAGTAAGTTATATTTGTTATATCTCCTTCTTGGAAAAAAAATAAAAAAATTACAGCAAGACAGTACAGTAACAGTATCATATAAGCTGCCTTCCTTCTATTCAATAACATTTTGTTCTAATGATAATCCATGTATGAAGGCAGAATATTAACAGAACAATTAAAACTTTCATTATGAGACTGCATGTATCATGTGTTACCACAGAACCATAGCTTAAAGTCAATTAGAATACACAGAAAGTTATACATCTGATTCTCAGAGCTTTAATGTGCATCTGCTTTTTATCCATTTTTAAAGTTACTGAGTTCAACTCACAGTCAAACTAATCATCTTACTGTCTCGTGCTATAGACTGTTTACCTCAGGTAAGTAAACTTGCCTCAGCTGCACTGTCAGCTCCTTTTCTGTAAAACAGACTTCCTTCCAGAGTTCAATCTCTGGTATTAGTCAGGATCTTTCAATTATCACATCCAACAGAAAATGTTTTCAGCAGTTCTCACAAATTTCTGGATGCAGCTAAAATGACAGATCTGAAAAGGAATAAAAAATAGCTTAGAAAAATCAGAAGCCACATTGCATGTATTAGGTAAGGGCAATACATGTTAGTATTTGTTAATATTTTAAAATATCTAGCTTAGAAATCCCTCCTCTTTACATATACCACCATCTCGCCAGTCACTTAAGGCTGTAATTTAGCCATCAACATGGACTTCCCTATAGGCTTTCCTATCTGTGCTGAATATTAACTGTCTAGTTTCCTAACTTGTTT